TCATACACTTGTTGATTTGCTTGTCTTAGGGAGGTGGTTGCTGATTTTAGTTATATTTAGCATTTACTGATAAAGCTGTGATCCAATAGAAGCAATACTTTTGGAAGTATGTAAAAATCAACTAGCAACTTCCTTCTGAAATACAGTGTTTAGAAGAAAGGTGTCCCCTGTGCATGAGCTCATGAGTGTCATCCTACTTGAGGGCAGACTTTTCTCTAATCCTTTACTCAAACCAAATTTCTGGTTCAAGAAGAACTCTGCCAGTCAGTAATTGGGACAACTGTGGGCTTCAACATTTCCCAGAGATAACACGGTAGCATCTTGTCTACATCCCCAATGCCCCTTTCCCTTCTTTTGCTTCTCTCCTTGTCTACATTTCTATTGCCTTCTTTCTGGAAGGCTTTGCAGTTAGGTAACTGTCATAATTCCTCCTGTGGATTTAAAGGCTTAACCAGGCCAGTAGAATGCTGGGTTTGGCTTGAGAGATAATTGCTAGTATTCAGAAATTTTGGGAGAAGACTGATAACCTTTGGTAGCTTGATGTCAGCCAGGAGGAAATAGGTACAATGTGGATATCAAGAAATAAATACCAAACCAGGCCCAGAATGCTGGTTCATCAGCATACCACAGGGGGGCCATGCCCTTCAGGGAATCTTGTGCTTTCATTAGGTACTCCTAAAGCCCTTACTCAAAAATCTAGATTCAAAGAGAACTTCTATGGCTGAGATTTCTCTAATACAGAGACTTTCAACATTTTTTCATCTCATAGCATACATTAACTATTAAAATTCTGTGGTACACCAAAAAATACATTTTTTGCCAATCTGACAAAAAAAATAAAATTTTGATTCATTCACACTGGATGGCTATTATTTTGTTGGCTATTGTCATTTTTTAATTTGACACTCTAAGGGAAAAGAGGTCAGTGCTCTTGACTAAATAGTTAGGTATCACATGTTTTAAAAATTCTTGCAGCACACCAGTTGAAAATCACTGCTCTAACAGGACTAAACAATGGAAAAATTCTTAGAGGTATTGCCTAATTGTTACTGTGTAGACAAACAGCTAGGTGACCTTCTGAAAACCAGCTCTACTGACACATTGCTAGGAGATATGGCGGGAAAATATAATTTTTTTTAAGTGTTGCCTTTTTGGACTAAGGATAATTCCCAAAGGCATATGTACATATAACAACCCTATGAGATATGTGTTACCCTATAGCAACAACCCACAGAATCAGACTATTAAGTATTTTCAGAATTACTGACGAAAACAAAGCATAAAGTACAAGAGTGGACTATGTTCCTTAAAAAGAGCAAGGAATTATGAAGCTCCACAGAGGATCTGGAGATAACATAGCTTGTAGAGTGAAAAACTAAATTTACTAATAGAGTAGCAATCAAATAATCTAGTGCTTTCCAAAACTGAAAGTAGTCCTTATCATCTTATCAAGATTTTAAAAAATCATACCTGTTGAACTAGTGATCAGGCTTAGTTAGCTAAGTACAGCAAGCTACATTTACTCATATTACTAGAATATTTTCTTGGAAATGGGGGACGGGTGAGTTGTGCTCAATGCAAACTAGCTCCTTTTCTATGTTTTTTAAAAAATATGCATCTCTCTCTTTTCAAATATTTACTGTGTTTGCTGTGTATCAGGCACTATCTTAATTATTAAGGATGACTAAGTTCCAGTCCCACACTGTCTTTGCTTTACAGGATTCTATCCATTCTTACAGTATATAGTATTATTCAAAGGCTTCAAAAAGGTCCTACCAGTAATATATAAAATATTTAGTTTTGGATTAGTTTACTGTAATTAGAAGACAATGTTTGAAAGCTGTAGCCTTTTTGCTTTCACAAGAATAGTCACCAAGAGCCTTTTTGAGGAAATGATTTAAGTTCTAAAGAAAGCTGTGGTGTAGCTTTAACAGCCTTCTCAGGAGGAATCCAAATGTCATTAAATAAAAATATACAAAAAGTATGCTTTATGAAGAATACTATGAAGCATAGTTAGAAGAATTTTGTCATATAATTAACTTATGCTTCTGAAAACATGGAGTGTAAAAGTGATAAAAATGGATTCTTAATAATGGGGTCCTAGAACAACAGTTAGAGTGATGCTTTTAATTTGTTGTTACAGTTGTTTACTATGAAAAAACCACATGTTCCTATCAAAGCATGTAAAATTAATGAACACATTGTATACCCACAGCTTAGTATATACTCTCTTGCAAGCTATACTCATTAAAACAACTATCAATGACTTCATTAAACAAAAACAAAAGTTCAAAACAAAAATGGCTTCAGAGTTAATTAGTCTGGAAGCCTGACATGTAGCAAAGGCAGCAAAAGGATAGAGATAAAGCATGTGACTAACACAGTTACCTAAATAAAACACTGCTTTTGATACCAGGCACAGGAATTCGGGAAAGGTGGGAGTCAGTAAGCAGTGGCTGGCGTTGGAGGTGATTTGTCTCACCTTCACTGCTGAACTAAAGGAGCACATCAGGATTAACAGGAACCACCCAAGCAGCCAGCCAGGGGCTGCCTCAAATTACTGGAGTGCAAACCTGGTGTTTTCACTTCTGTGATGTAAAGTAAGTTCTTTTGGCCACTAGGTGGAGATCAGATCACTCTGCCAGTGCCAAGGGAAGGTGCTGGCAGTCAGCAAGTGAGAAGTAAGGTGTGAAGAACCTGTTCTTTTCTCAATACTTCAATCAAGCTCCCCAATCAGGAGCAGACCTAGGTTGAATAGAGGGTCCATAAATGAGGAATAGCTTGAAGGATTGAACAGGAAAAGAACTGTAAAAGACAAATTGTTGCTTGTTACTACCATTACCCCTGGAATAATTCACAGAGTTCGTTGTATAAAGTGCTAGTAAGTACTTTATAAACCGATCTAAATAAGAGCCATTAAGTATGCAGTCTCATTGTTCACCAAGCATTGAGAAGGAAAAGGAGATATATATCCAAAATTAAAACAATGGCAGACTATTTGGAGAATGAATCCTTTCTGTTTATACATAAAGACATGTTCACAATTTGTTTCTCAGTTTGAATCTGTATATAAATATACATTTTTAATATCAGTAAGAATGGATCAGGGAACATCAGAGATAGAAGGAGAATGTTAGATAACATCTATTCTAATTTTCCAAATGGAACTATGATTCAATTATAGAACTATGATTCAATTATAAATTATGTAACTGTTTCTGTTATAGCTGAACATTGAACTGGAGACATAGATATATGTTTCCTAGAAAATAGTTGGTTTGGGGAAGGATCAGATTTGCCTGGTATAATATAGCCAAATATTTTGTTTATTTTTGAGATGTTAGATACTATAATTCTGTTTATTCCTAACTTAATCATATATATTCAACAAATACCTATTCAGTTATATAAAACAAATGAATAATTTGTGACAGTTTAAAAGAATTCCATTTGTTATCAAATAGGTTTAATGACCAGTGTACTTTAGTGTATATGAATGTGAGCATAAACAAACATATTAATTGCCTGTTGTGTACCAATCATTATGCCAGGAGCTGGGAATACAAAGATGCACAATGGAGTCAGGGAAGACACTGGAAAGAGAAAAGCTACATAGCTAAAACACAAATAGAGGTTAATTTTTGTAGTGGTTGACACCAGTTATCAAAATCATGAGGAAAATACCTTTTTAAAGTTCTGTAGTAAAAGATAAAAGGCCACAACTGTTGACCATCTATAACACAAGATATTAAAAATAAAATAAAATCTCTCCTATTATGTATCAGTCATTGTAATGATAATAGGAGCTTAATTAAAAGGGAGAAGAAACTAATGTTTAGAATTATAAAGGAAACAGAACCATAGTTAATCCATTTTCTAATTATTGTTATGGACAGTGACCAACATTCGGTCTGTTGCTGTGATAAATCCATTGCACTTAATGACATGTTTATTTTAGAGCTATACATTTGTTTTAGCTTAATTAAATTAATATATTCATGCTATTTCAAAAGGATTTGAGGTTGCTTGTCTACATTGGTTGGTGATTTTCAAAATTTTCCTTCAAGCTTTTATGAATCTAAGAGAACTATGTATTATTCATTCACAAATATATATAGTTCTCTTTTAAGGAAATCACAAAAATAATCACATGAAATAGTTAATTATTATTCAGGTATCAATGGAATAGTTTATGGAAATTTCTTATCTCACTAATTGGCAGAGCAACATAAATGGCAGAAACCTACCTTTCTTATTGCTGGGTAAAAATGAAATGTAATTAAGAAAGTTTTCTTCTGAAGATTAAAATAAAGAAATTACAAATAAATCCTTTTATGGTATGCTTTAGTATTGATGTGTACACAGGCTTTCTCATTGTTCACATTAGTTCCGGTAGCAGCTAGATTCAGTGGTGACTGAGTCATTTTTGGAGTCAGGGAGTCTCCTCTCATTTTGGAGACCTGTTCCCATGCATCTTTCCAGGGCAGGGTTGGGTCTACTTACTACGACTGCTAAACTTGCATTATCTGGAAGCAAGGCAGTTGATAAAAACACATCTTTATTAGATGTATAATTTTGTTTTTCTTCTCTAGCCTAAAAGTTTTGGCCTCATAATAATGTGCTGCATTTTAGAGCTTCAGTATTTCTATTTCCTGTATAGCATGTACAGGTGCTGACAATGATGGCAGTAAAAGTGAGAAGAGATGCAAAGGTAGTGGTGGAAACTGTTTAGTGCTTAAGGTTAAAAAATAAAAGTTGATTGCATGCTATGGTGTGAGGAACCTGTATATTTAAGCACTGCCAGAAAAAAACGTGTATTTTTACTTTTTCCCTAACTACATGGATAAAGTTTGCTTTTTCTCTGGGTCCAAAATTTATTTCAGCCATTTAAGCAACTATACTTGAGTCATTGGGCTAGAAGTTTTCACAACTGTGGCATTAGGAACTAAATTTATATCTGAATATGCACTCTTAAGAGATAAGGTCAATTCAAGTGGTACCTGCATTTGTTTGTCATCTTGCCCAATCATGTTTCTCCATTCTGTGAGCGAGCGCTGCAGATGTTCAAGTCCAGTTTCCCAAAGCCTGACATGACCTCCCATATCAACAGTAACAACACCACCTTTCCCCCACTCAGTGAGAAGAGCATCTGTGTCTGAAATAGTAGATAGCCAAGTGGTGTAGGGAGAGAGAGATTCTGATCTGAAAAAGAAATCACAATATTCAACCAATTGGTAGTCTAGGTAATGAAGCTAGTTTAACAAGATTTAGGGTTCATTAAACTTTTTATAAAGAATTCTAATAGTAAACACATTAAAAGATATTAACAGACTTATCTAGATAAGTAAAAAAAATACACGTTTAATTATTGATTATTTTTCTGTATTTGTGGATGCCAGATGACATTAGTATTCACCATCAGAAAGAAACTCTAAACCAACTCACACTTCACGAATGTGCAGTCTAAGGTCAGTGCTGAAACCAATCTTTTGTTTATGTGTGTTAACTGCCTTTGTTTTTGATATTTTACTTTTTCTAACTTAGGAAGTTATGTGGATTTATAGTCAGAAATTTATATATTTCTTGTGTTATATATTTCATACAAATGCATGTTTCATGTCTTTTATATTTCTGATACATATAGAGTCATTTCTAGGAGTGTACTTTTGCCTGTAAGAGTCAATTTCATACGTACTTTATCTGAGTATAGCTAGTACTATACAAAAACACACACTAGAAATTCTAATTACTAGTGTTGGCTCTCTAAATACATCTAATATATTCTGTACAAAATAAATTATTTACAGGGATGGTCTGATCTGATAATAAAAACAAACTATCATTGTTGGTCTGATAAAACCACAAACCCACTATGTATTAGGGAAAGCCTTATAATATTCCCAAAGTAACCCAGGCTACTTTGACCTTTTTATTCAGTCTGCCTTAGTAGATTTTAAACACAGTGTAACAAAGCCAGCTACTCTGGAACACAGAAGTCTTAGAAAATGTTTATATGAAGAGGATGACACCGGTAGGATGGGACCAAGTGTTTCAGAACTACTTTGCGAACTAGAAGGACTCCAAGAAAGTACCATTTGATATAATACAGGCTATAACTCTTTGTGCTCTCCAAAAAAAACATTTGCCTTAGGAAAAAAAAAATTAGTAGGTACAGATGATGAAGTAAAGGACTACTCAAGAGTAATGAAATTTATTCGTGTGAAACTATGATGTTTGAAAGTGTTCCAACAGCACACAAGATGTATGCGTCTAATGAGCACTGTATCTACTGGTTGCATATTTATCTCACCACCATGAAAACTGAAATTTACAAGGGCAATTTATTCAATATGTCAATAAACACTGCTGAAGAAATCACATTTTTACAAAATTTGTACACGAGGTCTAGAATCTCTTCTCTACTTTTTCTTTTTCAAATGTGTTCCCCTTATACATAATAATAAGTTCTTTAAGGAGCACATAGAATTACAATAGAGTGAAATCTAGATTTATATACACCCACATACAAGACTAGGCAGTATCATTTTACAAATGCAAATAATATAAAAATTTGAGGAAAATACATTTTACTGAGGGCAAAAGTGATATATTCATTTTGGCCCTTCATTTACATATAGTTTTACTGTATTTTTCTATCATTTGACATTAGCTATCAAATGGAAAATTCCTGATATCTAGCAGAAGGCTCAATTTAAGCACTTAGCAACAAAACTGAAATGCAGATGGGTTGTTCCCTTGGATTACATATATGCCAAAATATGACTACAGTTAATCCCAAGAGAAACTCAGGACATACTGACAATGAACAGACTCTAAACCACGTGGCATTTAAAATGTGGCAAGTCCAAATTTAGATGTTTTGTAAGTATAAAACACATAATAGCTACCAAAGACAGAAAAATGAAGGAATGTAAATTACATCATTAAAATTTTTATATTGAATACATGTCAAAATGACAATATTTAAGATACATTGTAAATAAAATACTAAAGTTAATTTCACTTGTTTCTTTTTACTTTGTTAATGTGCTTACTAAGGAATATAATATTACATATGTGGCTCACATTACATATTTCTCTTGGACAGTGAAGCTCTAAATGAGCTATGCTGACCAGCTGGCACTGGTTATATATACAGTTCTCTTCCAGATGTTCTTTCTATGGCAGGTATAATAGATGTTATTGAGAAATTTAAAAGAGAAAAGCACAGAAACAAAAAGCTAAGGCTAATGAAGAGAATATAAGGAAAGAAACTATTTAATACTTTAGTAATGTAAAATACAGAAAGTTATTTGCTTTTGTAACGTGCACTAATAGTATATTTTAATGAGCATACAATCAATATGGAATAAGGACTTTCCCTAAATGACTAAAATTATTTTCCATTCAACTAATACAAGAAGGCATAAATCTATTTCTTCAAATATGCTTTCATTATTTATACTTCTTGAACTTGACCAAAGGGTCCTAAGAAATGAAACCATGTTTCTGAGTTACTTGGTACTGTTATTCTGAGCTATTTTCTTCTGGGAATTGAGGAGTGGGTAAAAATGTGGCCTGGTGATATTTCAAGTAACTGACAAGTTCCAGTGTCCCTGGCCTTCCTGTGACATAGGAAGGCTTTTCAGGCTCCTCTGCTTAGGATTTCAAATGATTTTTTAATTTATTTTATTTTTTTTCCATCACCACTTATCCCTCCTATACCCCAACCGACTCCCTCCCCGCCTCAAGTGATGTGTTCACCGCTGTGTTGTGAAGCCTCAGTTACCTGTTAGGGAGTATATGTGAGGAGGGAATGTGAGACCAAAGCAGGTGCGCACCCAGGTTGAAGGAGGTTAGGCACAGTTGCACCCAGAGAGGGATGGGCTACAGGTAAGGACTCTTGTGTTCATCGAGGCAGACACTGACCCTCATTGCTTCTCCGTTTGTATCCCCAGTCTAGCTAGTGTGAATGCTTTGCTTTCTTCCCCGGACAATAATAAAAGCAGTGAATGGTCCAAATCTCTCAAATCCTTTGATTACTTATGGCCTTCATGACTGTAGATGCACAGTAACATATTTTAAAACAATATTAACCAAATGCTATTTAAAGTATTTTGACATTTTGAACCCATTTACCTCATAAAACTTATATAAAGTTAGTAAGTATGAAAACTTCTACAATACTAAAAATGCTGTTTCAGATACAGAAAAATTTACCATCAGGACAGATCAGCAAAAGAGAAATAAGTCTGTAAGGCTGATTGATTTATAACTATGTAACATTTGAACATTTTTCCAAAATAAAAATTAAAAAGGCAGTAAGGCATGCAGAAGAACAGCAAGATAAAAACCATCTGTAACTTAAAAAAATGCAGCTTTCTATTTCAGGAAGCAAAAAGCTACACATTTATTTAGAGCCCTTGTTACGAATTCACTCTTTTTTTTTTCACTCTGACATACAAGCTAAGAAAAAGGTAGAAATAAATTACCTGGGAATAGGAATATATCGGAGTTTCTTTGATTGAAGATCTGTGACTTCTATATAACCAGATGTTTGTGGAGGGGTAACATCTGCAAATAGTCATGACAAAGCCGAGTATTAAATTACTACATGATACCAAAATAGGACAAAAAAAAAAAAAAAAAGCATGAATCCTGCTAAAAGTGGAATGAAGTTATCAACAGCCTGAACAGAACTCTGAGACCCACTTGACAAGGTCCTAGGCTAAGTCCAGCTTCAAGGCAAGACTCTCCAACTTATGTTTCTGTTAGGGAAATACAAAGACTGTCAAATAGATGCATACTAGACAGTGATTCTTTACTGTCAAAAAATAACCTAAGTTCTTTTCACTCTCTTTGATAGCGTTCCAAGAAGGGTCAATGTTTTACCATTTTATTGAAATGTTTCATCATCTGAATTCTGGTTTCCTTCTTAGGAAGTCACAACAATGATAGTATAATAGGGTGGAATCAGTACGCTGTGTAATCAGACTGACCTGGTATGAAATGCTGACATTTCCTAACAGTGTTTTATGCTGGTCAGGATAATTGTTGCTCTGAGACCTGCTTTTGTCATTGGCAAAATGGGGATAAAAAGTAGCCTCAGAACATCATAAACATTATTTTGAGGATTAGATGAATTTAGTAAAGTCAAAGTACCAATTAGCAATTGTCCAAAACACAGTAGCAGTTATTGGGGCCCTAAGAGACAGGACAAGGTGAACTGAGGATGGGGCAGTGGGATGAGGACTCTGGGTCATGAAGAAAATGAAAATGTGGGGAAGGAGAGGGTTCAACAACAATGAAGTTGTTTCCCGGCAAATTGTGGGGCTACTGACTTCTTTTCCACGGCCCTGAGCACCACCATCACCCTCATCATCTCTAGCTGCTACTCACTGCACGTCAGGAACTCTGCTTAGTCTTTACAGATAGTATTTTTAATACTGATAACAACAAAGACTTAGGATTCTTATTTGAGAGAGGAGGAAGCTGAGGTTTACAGAAGTAATATAATGATGTAGCTTGCTTGAGGCAATGGAGCAGTAGAGTAATGGAGGAGGTTTTCAAACCCAGAGCTTTCTGCTTCTGCAATAGATGCTCCGTCTACTGCTCCCCACAGCTCCTACTTGAGTGGGCCCTAGAGTAACAACGATTTTAAAAATAGCCCCATTTTACAAGCTGTGAGCCACTATCTGTCTCTTAAAAAAAAAAAAATTTCCCCTATATAGAACCCATACTTTTAAAGATTTTTCCTGTTTATCTATTTATCTATCATCTAGCTATCTAGCTATTTACCTATTATCTATTGGCAAAGATATAGGTATATAAATATAGATATCTCTATCTTCTTACAGCTTATTAGAGGCATCAAAAATGTCCACATGAAGTATATCACATGTAGTTTACAAGAAATAAGAAACATGGTATTTTTATTTCATATTTGCAGTTGAAGGTGTTTCAGTAGGCTACCTGAGGAACTCAAAATCTCTCTTATTTATTCAAAAGACATGGTTGAGCTTGCTTTGCACCAGATACAACACAAAGCACTGGGGACAGAAAAGAAGGAGATGAGGAACTCACAGCATATAAAGAGGAAAGTTCTTTCTTGGGGAAAAAACAACTCTGTGGGCCCTTAGGGACTTAGAAAGAATTCCAGGGTGGGAATCACTGGCCTGGGGCCCAGCGTGTGCTGCAGAGCTAGGCAAGGAGTGGGCCAGGGGTATAGGGGTCAAGGGAAGGGAAGATAGTGCGCAGGGGTAGCAGAGGGTAAGAAGAACGAGTTACTATGGTAACCTGACCACCCAGCTGGATTGGCGGTCCCCAGATGGCCATTTGTACAAGATGAACATGCTTATCCTAAGTCAGGCTCTGCCTACATTGGAAGTGCTGCCTGAAATATAAGGTCAGCCTTGGATAAAATTTTGCATCATATATAATTTTTGACAGTTCCTGCTGGTAAGACCTAGCTGAAGTAGGCTCAGTTATTTATAGACTCAGGCTTTTTGCAAAAAATGGCCAGTTATTGAAGCAGTTAGGATGGCTAGAGCTGCCTAGCTTTTTGGCTTACCGCTAACAGGAACTATTTTCAAGTTGAGCTACTACCATTAGCACTTTGAGACTGCCGGAGAAAGCAGAGTAAGCCAACTTACTTAAATTATCTTTTTTTCTACATTCTTCTTCCTTTCACTGTGCAAATTAATTTCATGGCATAAAGACAATGAGAAAATTCAATAATGGTTGTGTCTATTTCAGGAAGAGAAAGCAAGAATTTTATTCTTGGTACTAAAAAATATTTCCACTATCAGAAAAGGCAATTTGTGGTATAAAGTACTTCAAAAAATGCCAAGGGCGGTGACAGTGGTAATTGTAAGCGTTTTAAAAATAATCAGAATTGATGTTTGCTGAATTGAAAATAAATCAGCTCAGAATACATGATTAAATTAAGGAAGTAAAAAACCTTGGCTAGATTTCTCTCCAAACTTAGCCAAATCCTTGTCTATCCATTTAAAATGTTCCAACATTGTAGAGAGGATGGAGGCTTAGTAAATTTCCATTACATTTATAATTCAGGTGGATTACAAAGGTAGGTATAAACTATATTTAGGGATTAGTTCCCAAACGATTACAGGGAAGTCACTGCTGCAGTGTAGACCACGCCGTTCCCATGAACCTGGGGTGGGGGGCAGAGGGGAGGAGGTGGCTCACATGCGCAGTGCCAAGATGAGGAGGAGGTATAAAAACTGTCCGGCAGAAGCACCAAGAACATTTTCTGAGGGAAGACGAAATTACGTTAAAAAAATTTACTCCTTTTAGCAATGTAATTTGATTGTTAACTACTATTTAACAATCTTGTACTCACAGATCAAGAGAGTGATATATGCTCTGCGATCACGCTGATACCAAATCTTTGAATTAACTCAAAGTTCAGAAAACCATGCACTGCTTTCAATCAAGAGTCATTATTTTGTGTTTAAAGAGCTGAGGCCTATGACTAAGAAAAAGCTAACACTTAATTAGAAGAAAATCAATTGGAAGAAAGCAGTAAATCTCCTTCCATCTGTATTAAACAAAAGTTATACTGTCATTGAGCCACCAGGAGAGTAGCCTTTAGAGTTTCTATTGATTCTTTAATAAAAGGCCGATGTGCATTAGTTCCTGACTAGTCAGGTGGTTGGATTCTATTTATTTTAAAAGATTGAATTTTCATCAGAGATTTACATGAGCATCAAGTCCCTCAAGTCGAAAGAAAAAGCAGTCAGCCCCTGCTTTCTCTTCTCATCCCTCACTTCCTGCTCCCAGAGATAGGATCAAATTTTATGCCATCTCTTTGCTGTTCACCTTCATCCTGTGGTACTGTCTTGATATTTTAGCTTTAGGGATTATTGATTGACTTGCCACCAGGTAAGATGAAGAGCTTAACTCTGCGTATACCTGCTCCCTGCCCAGCACCTTGTTTTTCCATTCCCAATGCATTTATACCAAAAACTTTGTTTAGATTAACATCCACTGCTTATATTATAATGATTATATAAATGCTATTCACAGCTGAACTATGTCTTATTTTCTCTTTCCTATACAACTTTTTCTTTTCATGGAGTTAATAATCATTGTGTTTTGTCGTTGGTTTGTTTTTTTATTTACTTAGCAAAAATTCATCCTCAAAGTGTTCCCTAATTGTCAATATCTTTAAATATAGTCAAATATATTGGATATATCACTTTCACTATCTTGGAGGTATCTCTCCTGAAATCTTCTCATTTTTTCTAACCTGAACTGGTTGGTCCCTGGGCCTGTGACCAGCTATTGTCCTGGTAAATCCCTTTACCGCTTTCCTAGGTATTTTTTTAATAGTCCAATAGAATTCTTCCTGTGCCAGACATTATCTGTATACATTTGGAATATTTAAGAAACACTGCTTAAACAAATGAGAAGAAATAAAACTTATACCAACCAAAAAAAAATTGCAAAAGATACAAACAGGCAATTCTCAAAAGAATAAATCACAAAATGTAAAAAGACATTTAAACTTACTAGAAAACAGGGAAAGGTAACATAAAACCACAACATAAAAACTTCTACAAGAATAGATGAGGATGCAGAGCCCTGGGAGTTCCTTTATGTTGTGATTAACAACTTTGGGAAACAATTCCGTAATGTCACTCTTAGATATAATATATACCTTACAGACTTTCAACATATACACAATAATACCAGGTAAAATGATATTCATAGCCCATTATTTTTAATAGAAAAAAATCAGAAAGACCCTAATGCATATCAATAAAGAATAGATGAACAAATTGTGGTATTACAGCAGTAAAAATTAATGAAGTAGAGCCATCAGTATGGATGATAAAACTCTCCTCATCAAACTTTCTCATCAAATTCTGGTCAGGCTCTTTCAAACTAGACCCTGAATTTTGGGCTTCCACAAGTTTGTCTCTGTATTGCCCAATTTTAGCAAGAATAATGCCATATAAGCTTAACCCAAATTCCTTACCCTCGGTATCTGAGTTCCTGATCCACTGGCCTGTCTACAGCACGAGTCCTCTTAGGTTGATTTAGTCAGAATTTTCCCTCACCCTCTTAGTAATTTTTCATCCACTGATCCCCACCAAATTGGAGGATCTATACTTCCTGATTTTAAGACAACTATAAAGGAAAAAGCTAGAAAGTAATTAAGAAAATATGGTAATAGTGAAAGGATGGACATATAGATCAATGGGACAAAACAGACCCACACATATGTGGTCAGCTGATTTTCAGCAGAGGCCCAAATAATTTAATGGAGAAAGTAGAGTTTTTCAGCAAATTGTGCTGAAACTACTGACTATCCCCATGAAAAACAATAAGCCTCACCCCACACCTTGTACCCTATGAAATATTAACTCAAAATGAAGCATAAATGTAAAATCTACAAACACAAAATTCTTAGAAGAAAACATAGGATATTTTTCCATTATCAAAATGGGAGAAAATGTTTGGAAAACATAAATCTGATACTGAATTTCTATCTAGGATATGTAAAGAACACTCAAAACTGATTAAAAAGAAGGTAAATAACCCAATTCAAAAAATGGGCAAAAGCTTTGAAGAGAAATTTCACTAAAGAAGATACACATGAAAAGATGTTCAACTTCATTAGGAACTAGGGAAAATGCAAATTAAAAATCATAATGTGATATCACTACACACCAATTAGAATGGCAAAAAACTGACAATACCAAGGACTAGAAAGGAGGCAGAGCAACTGGAACTCTCATTCACTGCTGACAGGTATGCAAAACAGTATTGCCACTTAGGCAGTTTCATCGTATGATGTAAAAATGCCACTCCTAGGTATTTACTCAAGTGAAGCAAAAACGTACATTCTTTAAAAACCTGTGTACAAATGTTCAGAATAGCATTATTCATTATTGCCCCAAATTGGAAACTATCCAAATATGTATCAACTTGTGAATGGATAAACAAACTTTCCTATATCCACAAAATAGGCTACTCACAACTTGGTAGTAAAAAGGAAAAAACTACTGGTACACACAACAAAAGCAGTTCTCAAATACATTACATTAAGTGAAAGAAGCCAGAATCAAAAGACCACACAGTGTTTGATTCCATTTACATGACATTCTGGAAAAGGCAAATCAATAGTACAGAAATCAGACTGGCAGGGGCTTGAGGGGTGGGGAGGGGGGAGGGCTTGATGGCAGTGCCACGAGGGAGGTTTGCAAGAGACAGAATAGTTCTCTCTCTGTTGTGGTGACAGTTACACAACTGTATGTATTTGTGAAACTCACAGCACTAGCACATTAAAAAGTGAATTTTTACTGTATGTAAACTGGACCTTAATAAGATAGAAATGTATACTTTAAAAATATCACTCTGATGTGTGAAAGGAAGAAAGAGTGGAAGAGGGAACTTCATTAGGAGGCTATTTGTAATATTCCAGTGCAAGATGTTGGTGATGATTTGGATGTTGGCAACAGATCTGTAGACATGAAAGTGGATACAAGATATATTTGTAAAATTGTACCAAAAAAACATGCAATTCATGATGGATTAGATCAGAGTGCCAGGGAGAAATATCAGGGCTGACCCCCAGGTTTCTGGGTATGTGAAGGTGCTCTAAATTCTAGTTCACAATTTCTTGTGATTCCTGGAATGCTCTGTCATGTGCCTGTACCTTTCACATGGGCTTCCCTCTTGGTAGAACAATTCCTACATTTGATTCATTCCCACTCATCCTTCAAGAGTCAGCTAATAATCACCAGTCTGGGTTGTAAGTTTGTCCTTTGTAGTCATATATCACCTTGTGAATATTCCTACCACAGCAGTGTACTGCAATTGTCAGTTTATTCACCCACCTCTTCTACTGTAGGAAACATTTTAAGGAAGTGATGATTTATGTGGAAGGAACTACTAATTCTAAATATTAACATATAACCGGGACTTTTCAATCCCAATAATAGATTATTGTAATACATTTGGAATTACATCTATGAAGTCCACACTAATATAAAAATGTAAACACAGGACAACATATTACTACCTCTATGACTCAAATAATAATAATCAGTGGCTCAATGGCCAAAATTTTTCAAAATTTTCTATCAATGAAAGCCAGTGTGCTTCCATAAAATTAGTTCTGGACTAGGAACTGGAAGGTCATGGTGCAAACTGGGCTCTGGGGTGACTCTCAGCAAATAATTTTACCTCTCTGTTTCCCTGCATATAAATTAGAGAGTACATTAACAATAAAATGGGGCTTTGGAGATTAAATGAATTTATACAAAGAAAATGATCAGCACAGGACCTGACATATGATATACAGTGTTGGTTATTGGTTTGACATCATTTCAAATCAAAGTTGTTTTAATCCACTTGTTTATGGCAAAAACAAAAATGTTGTTTTTAGAAATAAAGTTGTTTAGATGTAAGAATGAAGTAAGTTGTGTCATGATGTCGTTATCTCATCTGTTGTTATTGATAAGCACTCAGTAGCTCAGATGCTGAGAGGCCCTGCTGGGGCTTATGAAATAAAACGTGGGGAAGCAACTATGGCAAGGAAACATTTTACTAGAAATACTAAGAGTTTGTGAGGGCCTGTTTGAAAGTGTTCAGTTTGGGCAAAGTGACTGCTGATCTGAATAGATCTGTGAAGACTTTGGGTGATCAGCTCCTGCCCTGGTAAAGGCAACTCATACACCAGCAGCAGCCTGAGAAGGAAACCATCTTGTGTGCCAACACCGGAGACATTGCCATCTAGCAAAGTGCTGTAGCAACAAGGGACTTCTGTTTCTGTGCTGGTGGCTGGCCGTGTGCTCGAGACTGTCTAAGCAGTCTCTCGAAGAAAAGGTACACCTCAACGAAATTTGGACTTTATTTCCTTTATCTCCCCTTGCCTGAAACAATAGTGTGATTAATTGGTCATTGGTTTGAAGTATATTATTTCTTTATTGGCTTATTAAAAGACATTATTCTGTATGCTATTGACTTATGAAATTCCTTCAGTGAACATGTGTTAAATAAATTGCTGGCAAAGAAAACTTTGCCAGTCTGTCTTTTAAGGGTCACTTATGCTCAGTCTGAGCATAATTTGTAGCCTCAAACAACAAATACTTATATGCTGATTTTTGAGAGCATTAATAATTGAATCAGTCTGCCTAAGTCCCTGGCTTTTCACCACGAGAATTTAAGCCAGTGGTTTTCAACCTTTTTCACCTCATGGAACACATAAACTAATTACTAAAATTCTGCGGCACACCAAAAACATATATTACTTTTTTGCCGATCTGACCAAAAAAAATAAGTCAAGTTTTGACTCATTCATTTCGGGTGGCTGTTGTTGTGTTGGCTGTTGTCATTTTTTTATTTGGCAATCTAAGGGAAAAGAGGTCATTGCCCCTGACTAAATGGTCAGGTGTTGCATGTTTTAAAAATTCTTGTGGCACACCAGTTGAAAATTGATGGTTTAAAACAAAAGTCAGGCCCCATTTTCCATGTCTAATATTTTAGTGATTTTTAAATCTCCTTGACAACATGTGCTCTATAAAGTTATTGTATAGATTGTAATGCAAATGAAGATGAGCTACAAACAGCGATGGCTACAACTACACAGTGTAAGAAGGTAAGTGAAGACTTTCTGAGTACGTTCATGTGTTTAAAACTACTAGACCTCTGATATAATTATTTCCACTTATAAATATACAATAATAATGATAAATTAAATATCTCTATCAAAAGCAAACTACCTTCAACTACCTTTGCAGATTAGGAACTGGTAAGTTCCTTACCTTTTGGGTACACATCTTTTAGAGGGACTTCTCCCGGCGGCAATATCCTGACGATCTGATTGGTATCTATCAGAGTCACACAATTACTCTGTTTTGGAGCTCCACCTTTCTTCTTTCCTCCATAGAATGCTGAATCAGTGACCCTTGATTTATGCAAAGATGATGGCCTTTTCCAAGAATAAACTTCACTGGGTGACTGAAAATAAAATAAAAAGAGATTAAAGCCCTGAAGTGCTATGAACCACATTCACCCCACTCACCACAATTTTCATAATGCAGCCCTTTAAGCAGATACCAGTGGTAACTTTTATTTCACAAGTATAAGAAAACAAAATTATTCCTTAAACTTCTTTAATTTGTTACAGGAGATAGCTGCTCTGCCAATACTCATAATTTTCATACAAGTGTGAATATATAACATATTTTTTCCTTGAAATAAATTATAATTAAAAGGATGGAATATAACTATATAGATCATTTAAAAATATAACAAACTCCTAATGCATCCACCATCTGGTATAAGGAATAGAACATTACCAGTATTTTCTTAATTAAGGTATAGCTGACATACAACATCATATTAGTTTCAGGTGTATAAGGCAGTGACTCAACACCTATATACCTTCCAAAATTATCACCATGGTAAATCTACTTATCATAAGGCCCTGATAGCCCACACTGGGCTGTGCTCACGCACGGACACTCTCTCCACCTTATTTGGGCTCCCACGTCCTACATCAAAGTGCCCTTCCTGGGAACACACCCTCTTCATCCTGTCTGGACTTGATTCCCGTCACCAGTGGTCCCCCTGCCCCCACCACAGTTGTCCTTTCTACTTGCTTGGGTTCTGACCTCTAACACGACACTGGGACATGGTTTGTCCATTTTTTAATATTGGATTATTGGTTTTCTTACTCTTGAATTTTGAGAAGTCTTTACATATTCCTGATACAAGTCCTTTGTTGAAAATGTGATTTACCAATATTTTCTCCCACACCATAGACTGCCTTTTCCTTCTCTTAATAGCATCTTTTATAGAACTTAAGTTTTTAGTTTTGATGAAATTTATCAGTTTTTTTAATGGGTCATGTCTAAAATGCTTGGTACAATGTTTAATAGAAATGGTGACAGTGGGTATCCTTGTAATATTCTTGATATTAAAAGGAATGCTTTTAATGTTTTCACTATTGAGGATGATATGTACAGATATTTGGTATTAGGTTAAGAAAGCTTTAATATATTCATAAAAATTTAAGTGCTTCTGAAAATACCTAAAAATATGTTTGTTAACATAAAATGCTGAAAGTCTGCCTAATTGACTCTAATCTTCCATTAAATAAAAATTCATTGAACATCTTCTGTGTGGTGGGCCCCACACTAAATATGGAGGAACTCTTAAATTAACAAGATCACTTCCAGGCTATAAAGAATTTATACAGGGTTAATACAAACAGTGCCTTATATTCAGTTTTTACTGTCTAAATTTTTATAGCAATATTATGCCTCTATACTAATTTCTTCAATCAGAAGATCAATTTTTAAAATAGTTCTACCTTCATAAAAATAGGTCCAGTATTCACTGATAGCAGCAAGTATTGTAGAAAGCATATTAAACATCTCTTTCATTCAATCAAGGCCGCTGTAGATATTGTATTTCAACAACATGGTTCATTTTCAGTCATATAATACCATAGCAAATGCCTTTTACTTGATAATTAGGAAGACATATGGCAAAGTACTAAGCCACATATTATCCACTGGGTTTTGGATTTCAAAAGTCTTTTACCCTGAAGTACTCATTATTCATTAATTAAAGATTTGAGGTATGTGAGATTGGTATACTATCAAGCAGAGCTCATAATTTTACCTTCAAATGATTCTACCATCACACCTAAAAGCTACAAAGGAAATTATGAAAATTAAATGTTTAATCAAAATACATGAAGCTACATCTAAGGTTTAATATTAGATGGCAACTTGGGTGGAAATGACCTTCCTGTTTCATTTATCCATATTACCATCGGGGAAGATGGTGCCTAGTTTCACCTGAAACCAATTACAAACAGCCTCTTCTTTACACATAATAATAAATAACAGCAGAAGGGCTGATCTAAAACACAAATTAAGTTGAGACCATCGGCATTTATAATATAATCTGCATGCTGCAACAATACAATAAATCAGAGCAAAACTCAATGGAGTATGAATTGATGTTCATCAGTGTTGAAAATTTTAACCTACAGTAATGAGATCTTGACATATTTCACTTGTAAAAATTCCAGAAGACATTTTTTTTTAGTAGTCTCAAATTGTTCCTCTTGACAGATTATATGAGCACTCATTAAGACAACATGGTACAAAATCACTGTTAGTTGGTTAGGCATTTACACATGAATGCCCATTTACGGGTAATACTGGTTTTCCCTTACTAAATTATATAACTGCATCATACTTTAAAGGGTAATTTTTAAAAAGCCATGAAGTCACTTAGGTAAAACACATTTTTAATGATTGATTTGGAAAACAGAATGTTGATCTGAAATGTTTATCAGAAAATTGCATTTTAAATTATGCCCTCAAATAGGTTTTTATCATAGGACATATTAAGAGGAAGAAATATTCATATTCAATAACTTTAAAAAAACGGATGCTTACCATGAGATCTGGGAAACCAACAACAACTGTAGCATAGCTATTCTCATCTGAGAGAATTCGGTTAGGAGAGGCAATCTTTTGTCCCACAGCTGAGCTCAGATTTTCAGATGATAACTGATCGCTTGAAATTTTATGAGGTATGCTGAAATCTGTTTCTGAATAGTGTCAGAGAAACATTAGATACCATATGCCCTTAAAATGCTCCTTGAATTAATTTTTACAAAATTTCATTCTCATCAAATCAAACAGAAAAACACATGTTAAAAAAGAGAAAACATTTTAAATTACATTCATGGCCTTTCATCTGAGAAAACTCAGTTTTTTACAATCAAGGCAAGTTCACAAAGTAATTTCAAGTATTTATAGAATTAAAAATTTTACTAACAATAAATATAATCATTAACAGAACCCTGTAGAAAAGATGTAAAACTGATCTAATCCATGTTGGTAATGGTATGTTTTAGATTTTATTTATAAGTCCTATTCACTTCCCCCAAACTGCGATGAATTAGAAATCCTGATGGTCTGTGTAAAAAGGAAAAAAATGCTATCCTAAATTAGACTCGGAACTTAAATATACATAAAAACTCTTACTTGTCAGTTAAAAAATTCAAAGACAGAACTTAAAAGATGGTAGATTCTAATTTACTATTTCTAATGTAGTGACTAAGTTTTCCCTCGGTGTAAGTTTACCATATACTGCCAATATCGCTGTTAAATGATTCTGGAGGACAGGGTGTCATCGAAGCATGCACCCAGCCGGCCATAAACATGGAGAGCACAGCGTTTACCTTGTGTAACTCCAAACCCAGGGCTGGGAGGCTCCTCTTTCAACACATACAACTGGCAAACCCCACTGTCTTCAGATTCGATGTGTGCAGGCTTAGTTAGAAGGTATTTCCTGTAAACAAAACAAACAGCTATGTGAAAGTTGTTCTTTTCCCAATAATTGTGTGGCCAGACAGGAAAAATGGAGTTCATCCCCCTAAGCCGCTTTTTTATATTTTGAGTATCATTTGTAGTTTCTGAGTTTCATTGTTATTCTCAACACCGTGTATAAAGAGCAATTCATAATCGCAATGCAGTAACAATTGTAAACCAAAAATCCAACACTTTGTATAAGAGGAAGGGCTGTAAAAAGAAAAAAGAAAAAAACAACTATAATGAGACACACTACTGTTATCATAGAGCCTGCTATTGCTATGACTGATGAGCCAGGAAGTGGGACCCTGACCTCTGATTGTGACCAGCTGAGGAACAGAAGCCTTCACCACTGTCATCTCCTTGATCTACTTAATTTGTAAGATTTCTGAGATGGCAATGTAGAAATAGCCAGAAAGCTTTTGCAGTAGGCTACCTCTGCTTGTCAGCAGAGCTGCAGAGAAAGTCTGCATTTAGCTAGTGGATAAATGCATGAAGGATGGGGGACTCAAAATTTATTGTGCACCCTATTTATGCCAAGAGCACATAATGTCCCTTTCATCAAGAAGTGTACAGTCCAATGGAGGAAGCATCACAAACATAAACATAACCAAATAAGAGCATGCAAGATAAAATGAAGAAGAAACTTCTAAGAAGTGATTCTGTGAAGTCACAAAAAAGCAACAGCTCTGTGATGCAGACTGCGGCCCTTTGAAGATAAACTGAAAATCTACTTTGAAGTATCTCTAGTTTGGCAACAATGCAATGAGTTCTCAGTGTGCTAGTAGGAAAAAAAAAGCCCACAGAAATATGGATCATACAGAAAAGTTATGATATTTTTCCTGTTAATTTCAATGTGATCCTCTGAAATACTTTTCTGGTTGCTCTGTGAAGTCATATTTAATTTAATTTTCTCTCTCCACCTATTTTAACTTTCACCTATAGTGATGCTGCCAAATTCAGAAATTGTTAAAAGACAGAGAAAGACAGAACAATAAGGATGCAGGATAACTGATAAGCTACAGCACATGGCATGAGGTACTATGTAGATCTACCCACTGATTTGTTTTGCTCTCCACCAGAAGCCATTTGTCCTCTGCCACCAGAAAAACTGTCCTGAGGTCGATGGGAAGGGAGATGGTGTGAGTTCGCCCTTCCAGCACGTCCAGCACGGTCAGGGTGTTCCTGAGAAAAGAGAAGAAAACTGTATCTGAAAGGAGGTGGTGAGGATAACGGTTGCGTAACCATGGCACAATCATTTCATGATATATATGCAACCCTGAAAAGAATATTTTTAAGACTAGGTAATAACACAGAAAAATGTTAACTGAGCAAACAGATATACCAAAGTCTAAGCTATGTAAGTCTATGTATGCATAAGAAGAAATAATGGAAAGTGATAGCTGTCATGTTAGTAATTGCTGAAGTATGGGATTATGAGCATTGCCTCTTCTTACATCTATTTTTCAATGTTTTACAATGTGAGATGAATTGTTTTTATAATAAAACATTTATAATTTCGTGACATTAGTTTAATAATAAACAAATATATTTAAAAGAGGAAATAGAATAGGCAAAATAAGGACCACAGTTTAAATCTTCTACAACCAAAAGCTCACCCTTTTTCCTTGTAGAATACTAGCCAGTTTTTGTGTGAAAATTCTTTACACATTTTATAAGTTTCCTAAAGACAAAATAAAACAAAAAATTCACATTAAATATGTCAGATCAGTCATGTCTCTTTAGCTACTTTGCCTTAAATAAAATTCTTAACATGTAGAAAGTAATTCTCAGAGGAGCTACCTCTTTATCTATGCCAAAACTTTCGGTAAAATGGACTAAATACAATATATTTAAAAATTTACTGTGAACTACCTACTAACACATCTTTAGAATTGTTAAAAATAACACCCAGTTCTGGTTAGAAATAAACATGCTATCTGATGATTCACTGTGTAATTTATGCCATAACATAAATAAATAGGAAATACTTTGCTTCTTAGATTTGAATACACTTATAACATTTTAAAAATCTCTTTTTTCAAGGTATTTTAAGACCTAAATATCCTATCCTGTAGAGCAGAAGATAAGCCTTACTATATATCCATTTCCTTTTTCTGAATAATAGAATAAATTCTCTTGGGTTGGTCTAAAATGTTTATTTACTAATTTAATTTAATTAATAACTAAAAACATTTATTTATCTAGTAGGTGCAATCAGGTGTTGTACTCATGCATTTATTGTATAAATCCAAAACGTGAATGCATATCTGAAATACAGGTTAAAGTGACTACACGATTAAAAGTTTGTGTGGATATCATACTCAAATAGCTCATAATGCTTTATTATTATGAATTCAGTCCTGACAAGTTTTCATGATAGATACAAAAAGAAGTTATTGTTATTTAATTATATGTGTATCTATGTCTATTTGTAGTGTCTTAACATCCACAAGTGCATAATAAGACAATTCTCTTGTACATTATAATAAACAAAAGGCCCTGAAAAGGGATGGGCAGGCATTCACATTTATGGTTAAAAGTTATAGAAAATCCTCAAGAATTTGCTAGACAAGTTGAGTGTTCCTTACAGCTTCTCTTTCGTTCCACCAGGAAGATCTCTCAGATGTAGCTTCTTCTAAAGGGAGGATGAGACGACGAAGGGCTCGGCCAATGGTATCCAACAATAGGATGACATTACTCTGAAATAAAGAGAATGGTGAAAAGCTCCATTGCCAAAAGGCAGAAGGTTCTTGGTAATCTGGGTGTAAAGGTTATAGTGATAAACAAAACGGGAAATGGCAATATTGACACACTTAAGAAGAAGACACCAAGTGGTTTTCTTAAGACAGAATTTAAAGGATTAGATGGTTTCATGGCGATGTTTCTAATTATATGATGTAGAAGGTATTCTCTGGAGATTTTATCTTAGAGCCGCCCCCTTCTCCCTCCCCTTCAAACGCAGGCCCCCGCAACCATGACTCTGTCCCGCAGTGATGGTGACATGGAGAGAATGAATATTTTTTAAAAGTCCATTTAACTTTTATCGGAATGACACTCACAGAATGCTCTGCTGAAAACTCTTTGACATTATAGATAATTAAATTACAATTAAATTTAATAATTAAATAAAATAAATAAATTAAATTAATTCTGTACACAAATCCAGTTCAACTCAGAAAATATGCACATGTTATATAAAGATGGGTTAGCAAGAAAATATCAAGAAGTCCAAGAACCTCGATAGTAGAGTATTTCTTCATTTAAAAGTCCGTTATGCTTAAAAAACTTACATAGTCGGTGTTGTAATAATGAACAAGAGATTTCTCTAATATTATTAATCACAGTTATGCAAATGACGTTAACAATCTCTCAGTAATTAGAAGTAATTAGAAGAGGTTTATTAAGGAAAGAAATTTTTAAATAAACCTTAAACATTAAAAGAATTGAATAGAAACACATAAAATGAGAACATAAAATTGAGAAAACCAGAAAAGACTGAATATTCTAAAGGTATGAAAGAGGTTAGCTTTTCTAGTTAAGATCTTATCTGTAAGTGGAACCTAATGAACAAAACAAACAAGCAAGAAAAATATAACCAGAGACATTGAAATAAAGAACAAACTGACAATAACCAGAGGGGAGAGGGGAGGGGATAACAGGGAAAGAAGGGGAAGGGTCCTCAAGGACCATGTAAAAGGACCCACGGACAAAGCCAAAGGGGGAAGGATTGAGGGTGGGAGCTGGGGGTGGGTGGGGTGGGGGAGGGTGGTGGAGGGAAAGTGGAGACAACTGTGCTTGAACAACAATAAAAGAGTTTTTCAAATAGGAAAAAAAGGAAAAAAAATTGGAAGAGCTTGAATAGGTTTGCAAAAAGGCACCAGCAAATTGTTTGTCAGGCCTCATTGTTGGGCAATTATCTTTTCTTTCTTTTTTTTGGTTGTTGTTTTGTTTTAAATTTGGGACTCCTCCATTATCCTATCCCTTATGAATTTTCATTTTAAGAACTTGCTTTGGGGAAAATTAAGTCACAAAGCACCCAAATGATTTGCAAAATTAGGAAACAGAATTTGAAATGTTTGTTCTTTTCTCCCATAGTATTTATTGAGCAGCTGATATTTAAAGCACAAAGGAGAATAAAATGATTAATTAATTATGGCCCTTGTCCTCTATTATATAATCCATTTAGAGAGAAATAAGAAGAAACATAAAAGGATTAATGATTCATCTGCAAATCTGGAACCGCACAGTGTTGTTTCAAATTTATTTTACTAGCTAATTTTATTGAAGTGCTCAAGAATTAAAGTAGTATTCTTACCACATAGCTTTCTTCACTCTGTATTCTCAATCTTGGCTGTAGTAAAAATTCTACTAAGCATGTTGATAAAGCTTAAATATTTCCATAAACATCACCCTTAGAATCAATTATTCTGTGTAAAATATAATTTTCCATTAAGAATCAGTGTTAGGAATATTCCTTTTAAAAATAACATTTCACATAAGAAGTACTATTCCTGGCATTTGAAGGTTTGAAAATGATGTCTAAAAGTTTTCTATATTAATATGTTAAAGAAAACATATTAATAAGTTAAAAATTTACAGTCTCCATCCGAAATTAAATATTTCTTAAATGTGTTTTTTAAGGAGAAACTCATGTATGATAACATGTACAACATTAATACAAAATCTTAGCACTGAGGCAATTTGGATAATATTAACTTTTCTAAGCAAAAGTCCTAAAATTAATATTTGATCCCGAAATATGATGAAGCACAAGAATAAGCAAATGATTAAATAAATATGATTAAGCAGAAAAATTAGTACAGTTATGTATTTTTTCTGCCTTTTTAGGTTCTAATACTTAGATACCCATAAACCTGGTCTAAGTGAACTGAAACACTGTTTTTCTAAGTAACAGAAAACACTTACTTCCAGCCACTGCTGTATCTAGAATTAGTTTTAGAAGCAATTGGCAACATGAAGTTCTGTTGCTCCATCCTTTTACAACTTAATGGTTTCCTCCTGCAAATGACTAATGATATATTCTGTCTGAGTTTAAAATAGAACTTTGTGTCACACTCGAGTACATATAACTGTGGCTTTGGTACTCCTTTGGTGGGGGGCAGGGAAGAGCGGCCAATGAGCAATTTTATTATGTTTGTATTTGACTGGGAGAAAAGTAACCTCTGGATGACCTCAATGTCCCAAAGTCTGAAATTCTAAACTTTGTACAGATGTAATAAGTAATCTCAAGGGGGTGGAGGGGCTGTTATTTTTAGGCATGGAGAAGTTTCCCTTTCCTTACTTAAGATTTTATTTTAGCAATCTCTTTTGAACAACTTCTTAAGCTAATCAGGGAAATACTCCTGGAGCAAAGATTTATTTTTTAAAGACAAGGGATAGTATTGAAGTTCTTCTCTACAATATTTAGCTGTTTTCATTTAGTGCAGAATGGGAAAGAAGGAATTGAAGGCAGTGCACTCATTTTTTATTCCATTAGAATTATTTATCATTTGTTAAATTTTACAGCTGCATGCTGTTTATTTGGAATTAAAGAAGTTTTACATCCTAACAGGCCATAATATAAAATAGACAGCTAAGATAGTCTCTTTGGAAAAAGAGGAGGCAGTTGAGATGATAGGTGGTATGCAAGTTTCCAGGTAAGCTGAGCAATGCCAGTTCAGGGCAATGAGGTAGCCTTTGGAAAACTGTTGAAACCGTAGTCAAAAGGATAAGCCAGATAACACGCTAGAACTAGAGCGGCAGGAGGCCAAGCGCTGGCTATGGAAGTCCAGCATATCTTTACAATGAAAAACTATTTTTCTTGATGAAAGTTGTTGAAGGTGAACCAGCGATGTGACCAAATAATTGAAACTTTTGAGAAAATAAAATACTTGGTGAGAATCTAAAATTTTTTTAAAAGAATTTATATATTCTTTAAATTTGAGAGTTAATTTCACAGTTGAAAATGTGGTAGGACTGTGTGAATAAATGCTCCATATTTAGATTCCTACCCAAATTTAATTGGCTTACTGAATTAAAAATCACCAAAATATCATGTCATAAAGACAGATTCTTCTGGCTATAGAATTCAGTTCAATGGCATTGATATTTTGTTGGAAACCTATATAATAAAACCCTTATTTCAATGTGCTAAAAACAAACTTTTATAAGCAGTATCTGGATATTCATAACCCTGCTCTTAGGAGAAAAAGAAAATGAAAAAAATCTGAAAACCAGAAAAAAATTTATTAACTCAGAATTTATAATAATTATTAGGGCAAGGCCTAAAATTAAAGTTGCCTTTATTGCTTGGTGAACTACTGACGTTATTTATGCAATATTTTCCCCTTGATTAGACACATTCCAAAAGTACTGTTTCTTGGTAACTTTACTCTCACAGTGACCTTAAATACTTGCAAGCATCAGCACTGCATTTCTTTAATATTTTCCTATTAGGAATACTTTCAAATTTTTCAGACTATTCTTTCCCCAAGTATCTGAAGTGAGTGAGAGAGTGGGTGAAGTCTGACTATGCCGGTGTCCATACAATGTGGTCTGAATCTCAGTTCCCACGTAGCTGAGCAAGCTGTCAAAATCCCCTGAGCCTCAATTTCCTCATGTTTATACGTTGCAAACAGCTACCTCATTGGGCAGCTGGAAGAAAGACATGGGACAGCGTATGTAATTTTTTTCTTCACACATTGTTAGCACTTAACAATACTTCTAGGATACCACACTCTCCGGTGTATCTACCTACTTCATGGCTACTCATTTTCAATCCCCTTGGTTGATTCCCCATCATATTCCTGATTTCTTAATGTTTTATTGCCCCAGTACTTAATGGTCAAACTTCTCTATCTATACTCACTCCCTGGTGACCTCTTTCAGCCTCATGCCTTATAGGCCAATAACTCCCAAATTTATATTCCTTTTTTTATATATATATAAAATAAAATATAAAATATATATTTTATTGATTATGCTCTTACAGTTGTCCCATTTTTTTTTCCTCTCCTTTATTCCCCTCCACCCTGTACCACCCCTCTCCCCAGCATTCCATCCCCCCTTAATTCATGTCGATGGGTAGTACATACAAGTTCTTTGGCTTCTCCATGTCCCGTCTACTTTGTGCCTACCAATTACACTCCTTAGTCCCTGTACCTTTTCCCCCAATCTCCCCCCACCCCCTCCCTGCTGATAACCTTCCATGTGATCTCCATATCTGTGATTATGTCCCTGTTCTAGTTGTTTGCTTAGTTTGTTTTGTTTTTCATGTTCAGTTGTTGCCAGTTGTGAGTTTGTTGTCATTTTACTGTTTATAGTTTTTGATCTTCTTCTTTTTCTTAGATAAATCCCTTTAACTTTTCACATAAGGGCTTAGTGATGATGAACTCCTTTAACTTGACCTTTTCTGGGAAGCACTTTATCTGCCCTTCCATTTGAAATGATAGCTTTGCTGGATAGAGTAATCTTGGAGGTAGGTCCTTGCCTTTCATAACTTTGAAAACTTCTTGCCAGTCTCTTCTTGCCTGCAAGGTTTCTTTGGAGAAATCAGCTGATAGTCTTATGGGAACTCCTTTGTAGGTAACTGTCTCCTTTTCTCCTGCTGCTTTTAAGATTCTCTCTTTATCTGTATTCTTGGGTAATGTAATTATGGTGTGTCTTGGTGAGTGCTTCCTTGGGTCCAACTTCTTTGCGA